TTACGTTAACTTATATTTTGCAGAATTAATATTTACAAATACAGCAATATTGACCGGGAAAAACATAAAATACTTTAAAATCAACAAATTCTTTGAATTTTACGGTCAATATCTTTCTAGACAGTGTATTCTTGAACAACAGTTCTAAATGTTATATATATGTATGCCTTGCCTAATACATACTTTTCAGTTCCTAGTCTAAAGCTTTGCACATCATGAAAGCGTTACCGATAACATTCTGTTTTTTCTTGTTTTTCATTTTGACAAACACCACGTTTAGTGTTTGTATTGGCATTTGCAGAGAAAATGAGCAACAAGCGTTGGAGAGTCTAAAGAAAGAAGTATATGATCCCTCAAATTTTCTCTCCTCTTGGATTGTTGGAAAAGACTGTTGTGAATGGGAAGGAGTTGTGTGCCACAATCTGACTCGTCATGTGATTGAGCTACAGATAGGCAATGATGTGTACGGACCAAATCTTGTAAAGATCAATAACCTTGAGTGGCTGCCAAGTCTTTTAAATCTTGAGTATCTGGGGATTTATAGTGTGGATCTCAGCAATGCAACTAACTGGCTACAGGTCATTAACATGCTTCCTTCTCTTGTTGATCTTCATTTATATAGATGTAGACTTCATTATATACCACCTTTACTTCATCATAATTTTTCTTCACTTGAAACACTCGACCTTTCTCGGAACAACTTTAGTTCTTCTATTCCCAAATGGGTTTTCAATCTCCCTAGTCTTGTTTCTCTTGATTTGAGTCATAGTAATTTAATTGGCCCTTTTCCCGAAGGTCCCGTTAACTTTACTTCTCTCACGGTCTTCAGGGCAAGTGGCAACTCTTTCAATTGTCTTTTACCCAGATGGTTGTTTGATCTTAATAATCTTGAATATCTTGAGCTTGGTTCTAGTGGTATTGAAGGTGCGATACCAAGTGAGGCTAGAAACATAACAAAACTTAAAAATCTTGATCTTTCATCCAACAACCTCAACTCCACTATCCCGAATTGGTTATATCGATGCAAAGATTTGGAATCACTTAGGCTTTACAGAAACAATATTGAGGGAATAGTTTCAAATGCGATTTCAAATTTGAGCTCAATAAAGAGTATTGACCTTTCTAAAAATATGTTTTCTGGAAAATTACCAAATGTAATTGGAAAGTTATCGAAACTACGTTCGTTTAGTCTCTCTGAAAATCTATTCGAAGGAGAAGTATTTGAATTGTTCAACAGTAGGAGTAATTTCCTTCCAGCAGGATTGAGAAATAGTTCTTCTTTGGCGGAATTGATACTAAAAAATAATAAACTGACTGGAACACTCCCAGAAAGTCTTAGCCAACTCCCAGTGCTAGAAATCATTGACATCTCTAACAATAGGTTGGAAGGTGTTGTAACAGAAAGTCATTTCACCAATTGGACACAATTAAGGCACTTCTTTGCATCTAACAATAATCTGACTTTAAAAGTGAGTCAGAAGTGGATTCCACCTTTCCAAGCCATTCGTATTCAAATAGGCGGCTGGAATATAGGTCCTCTGTTTCCCATGTGGCTCCAGACTCAAAAGAATATAGAGCGTGTGGACATATCAAATGGTGGAATACAAGGTGAGGTTCCAACTTGGTTTTGGAACTTATCTTCTCAAATTGAGTATCTCGATCTTTCTCATAACCGATTTTTTGGTGTGGTTCCAACCATCTCAACACCTTATATTTTGTTAATGTTATTGGGTTCCAACAATTTCAGTGGTCCACTACCTCAGGTTTCACCCCATCTATTTGAGCTAGACCTCTCGAACAATTCCTTTTCAGGAGGTTTATCTCACTTCTTGTGCGAAACAAATAAGAACGGATCCTACATGTTGGAGATCTTAAACCTTGAGGGAAATGATTTGTCAGGAGAAATTCCTGATTGTTGGATGAACTGGTTAATGTTAAGCGTTTTAAACTTGGGGGACAATAACTTGATTGGAGGCATACCGAGATCCATGGAGGTTTTAAGTAATTTGAATTCTTTGGACTTCCGAAGAAATAGACTTACTGGTCCATTACCTTCATCATTGGCAAAATGTAGAGGGTTGCTGAAACTTGATTTAGCTGAGAACGAATTCGTAGGACAAGTACCACCATGGTTAGGAATGAAGTTTTCAGATTTGATAATCCTTAGCCTTAGCTCAAACAAATTCTATGGTGAATTGCCTCCAGAAATTTGTCACCTCAAAGATCTTCAAATCTTAGACCTTGCAAACAATAGTTTCTTTGGAACTATACCAAGGTGTATTAGCAATTTAACAGCAATGGTCGCCGGAGATAAGTTGGGGGAAGCTGATATTGAGTATGTTTCTTTTGATTTTGGAGAAATTGTGAGAGAAAGCGCAATGGTGACAACTAAAGGCAATAACTACCAGTATGATAAAACATTGGCATTTGTTTCAAGCATGGATATGTCTAGCAATAATCTCTCTGGAGATATTCCTATAAGTTTTACCAGTCTTGTAAGATTGAGATTCTGTAATTTCTCAAAAAACCATCTAACAGGTACGATCCCAAATGGCATTGGCGACATGAAAGTGCTCGAATCCCTTGATCTTTCAAAAAATCAACTTTCTGGCCAAATCCCGCAAAGCATTTCGAGTTTGTCAACTTTGAGCTTCCTGAATATGTCTTATAACAATTTGTCGGGAAAGATACCTGTGGGCACTCAACTTCAAAGCTTTAATTCCTCGAGTTTCCAGGGAAATGAGCTTTGCGGGCTTCCACTCTTGGCGAACTGCAGTTCAGGTGGTCAAAATCCTGATGTTGATACTGAAAAAGATGATAGTGATGAAGATGAACTTGATTGGTTCTACATTGCAATGTCAATAGGATTTGGTCTTAGCTTTTGGGGAGTATGTTCTTGTTTGCTTTTTAAGAGATCATGGAGATATGCCTATTATCGTTTTTTAGATAGTTGTTGGGAATTCTTGTGTGTAAAGATACAAATATGGGGATGGATATGATTGAGTAGATTGTTATTCTCAAAAGTCTTATTCTATGCTTACTTTTCCTTCAATAAATAATAAAAGACTGTTTGCAGTTGATACTTTGTTTAGGCATTTTGTTTGAATCTCCCTAGTTATAGTAGATAATTGTTCGCAAATTATATGACTATTTAAGGAAACAAAACAAATGTAAACTTGTTAAATATTGCAAAGTTCTGAACTTGTGTTTTCTGATTTATGTTCGTCTACCTCTGAAAATTGCAAAGTTAATATCCTTTCAACTATGCGCGCTGCCAACAGATCAAAGGGCTGATAAATTGTATAATTGTTGCCTATAAAAATGATAACAGAAGATTCAAAAATAAATAATCCCTCTGTTTCAATCTCTCTTTTGCTACTAGTAGCAAAAGACTCATTTCCATGAGGAAATAATTTTGTATTGTTGAGCAGAGAAAGCAATCAATTGAACCTTGTAGTATTATCAAATTCCTACAAAATAGAAAAAAATAGAAAAGGTGTTCTTACTTAGCTGTAAATTCATTCTAGAGACGATATTTCTCATAACATAGATACAAATTCTAAGCTCTGGGTGATATCTGCACATCAGTAAGGAATTAAACATATCTTTTCATATGAATGATGAAAACAAATTCCTGAATTGCTGCCAAAATCCCGGCAATGGAAGTATACTTATTTCCTAAAACTTTGGATAGTTATCTGCTCTATCCTTTTTTTTGCCGTTGGAATTTAACTTCTGTATGTAGCCTTAACATAAAGATATGCTTTTGACGATGAGAAAAACATAATTCATCGTTTATGTCAAACATCGTTTTCTGATTTGGTAAGATATTTTGGAAGAAAACCTGAAAGCATTGCAATCAAATGAAACTTGTTAAGCTGAGGAATTTGGTAGAGCAAAAGAATGTTAATTACTCAGAGCAATGTATAAACTGTGCAATATAAGCATAACGCCACACTCAGCTATAAGATCTGTAATGGCTTGCATATTGTAACCAAAATCCTGACAAAGAAAGAAAAAGATTGCTAAATTGAGATCAGAGCAATCTATCTATTTTAAGATGAATTTCCAAAGACAATAAACATCCGGATGACATATATGTGCATGGTAAAAGATCACCAGTTCATTACCTTAGCTATCAATTTTTTTGAGAAAATTATCTCAATTTCTGCATATACCAGATTTGTTTTTTACAATGTTTCAATGCAAATATAAGCATTTTAGCACCCTTTCTTGTTGTCATCCAACATTAAATTCATCTCGGTCTCAAGATGATTCCTCGACTTTATTGTGGCAATGGACACACTACACACTGCTCAACAAGACTTTTGACAGAGGAAAAGAATTAACAAACAAGCCAATAGAAATAACCAAAAATAAAGAGACGTCGCTGATCCATAGACATCGAAGCGATGTGAGGCACTGAAGACCTCTCGTCGGTAGTAAATGGAGCTCAAGAACCCCTTCTTCTAGCAGTGATTGAATTTGAGGTAAATTAAGATTATATAGAGATTCAAGAGAGGTGAGGCTTTTGAAAACTTGGGCAAGGCAAATGTTGTTTTTTTTTGCTAAGCTGATATCCTATAATGATATATAGTGCTGATATCCTATAATAATACATACATAGTTACCTATATAACTATGTTAACACATTTTCCTTGCCAAACAGAAGAATGAAATAATAAAGCTACTTATGAGTTTCAATTGCCAATAATAGTCCTTCATTTGTCTAGTTCTATGATGACTTCAATACTTGTTAATTTTTAATGTATCTTGTTTTTTCCCTATAAATACCAGTCCACATGCTACAATGGATTAACTTATAACTATGTCAGTGTAGTTAAAGAATAAACTAAAAGAACTGGATTGCCTCAACATTAATCAATCTCAGGCCTTCTCATTTGGTGTATCAAAACTCATATGATGGATGGTTATATCAAATAGTTGAGGAAGAAAAGTCAATAATATGTTCAGTTATGATCAGTCTTGAATTACTTAGCGAGAATCTGATCATCGACACAAGTAGCAAACAGAGCTGTTGGATGTGAAATGGTTCCTACATTTGCGCTACCAAATGCAGAAACAACTGTAGCTGATTTATTCCAATCAGTATTGTACTAATAATGCACTAGTCCTTTAGGAAACACAAATTTGTAGAGTCTAAGTATAGAGCTTGTTACTACTATCTAACAATCCAACTTCTAGACTGCCCTGCACTACTAATAATAGCTCAGATGCACGAGGGTGAGTGTGGGGCGGGTTGACATCCTCGCCAGGGAACTGAAGGGCAGCAAGTGAAGTACACTGTCCATCCAAAGCTGGAAATTCCACTTTGCTAGCTTTCCAAAGTATAAGCATAACGTCACATTCAGCTATAGCAAAACCGCGAACATATCTTAATATGACAAAAATATCAGTTCTGATAGTTAAGACCATTGGACTAACTATCATAGCGCAGTAGACTCTACGCACTACTCAATACGATTTAACAAAGGAAAAGAATTAAAAACAAGCAAATAGAAGTAACAAAAAATAGGAAGCTACTAAAGTAGAGAATAACTTACATCTAGACTTCGAGGTGAAGTGAGGGACGAGGGAATACCTTCTTCGAGTTGTGACCAAACTTGAGGTGAATTACAAATAGATAGATATTTCGGAGAGGTGAGGCTTTTGAGAACTTGGCTGCTTAATGTTTTCAGATTGTCTACTTTAAAACGTCGAATTGCTAGAGCAATGTAATTCCCAATTTTTATCAGCAAAAATCTCTTCGTTACTACCATCAAGAATGATGGTTTAATCTGTGAGACGGCGGAGTCTTTGGGATTGAGGCGTAATGGTTATTGTTATTGTATGGACAATTGTTTGTAATTAACATTTAGGCAACCTATTAATGTAAAAACTTCTTTACAGTGTTAGAGGATAGAAACTTACAAGTAAGAAACACCATATAAGCAACATGCTATAATCTCTAACACTATCTTCAGCTATCAAATTTTGCGCCAAAAACAATGAATTCAGTTGAACCCGTCCAAAATCTGGAGCTGAATTGAATAGGTCCAACTTCCGAAGAATGCATGCACATCTTTCACTAGCCAACTTGACAAAAGAAAATAAGAGACCATTGAAACTTTACTTTCTCTTCTCATTGACATTCAATGTTCTCTTCCTCAGAATCTCCTCTGTTTCTTGTACATTTTACAGTGCATTTACAGTTTGCTTTAATCGTTCACATCCAGAAGTTCAGATTACTCAATACAGAAAGTTCAATAATTATTTCGTCTTTTGCTTTCCGTTGGCCAAACGTAACCAGAGCAGAAAGGCCAAGTCCCTTCTCAGAGTAACTTAAATATCTCAACAGCTTTCCCTTCTCAACAACTCATTAAAACCAAACTGAAAAGAAGAAAAAAAAAGAAAAGGATATGTTAGAACTCTTAGCCAATCAATGTGACTATTTCAGCAGCCAACATTTGTATAGCTATACACGATTGATTCCTCTAGACAAGTAATCAACAATCATGGTTTTATCTGCCTGCGAAAATGATTCCTAAACTTTCTGCCAAGTGAAGAAGTTTCAATATTTCATAGCTCCCAATCAATTTTTTTACGATGAAGAAGCTATAAGAACAAAGCAAAATCAAGGGGCATCTCTGATGTTACTTGGTTTAACAATTAATCAACAACTGAAGGCTTCTCAGTTATTCAAGATCTAGCATAGTAGTTTCAACGACATGACAATGTATTAACGGCCAAATCGAGCTAGTAGAAAAGGAAAGGAGGAAATCCTCAGCACACACACTCCACATCAATCCTTAAGGTGAGAACTCGAGTAATCTATTGGCCACTCCTTTCCCTTTCTCGATCGATTTCCACATCAATCTTTAAAATTATTTGCTTTTGCAAACTTCATGTGAATTTCTTACAGGGAACATGCAAAGTGTACCTGATTGTAAATTTGAGATTGCATATATCTAACCAACTGTACTTGAACTTTTGCCTCTTCTAAGGACTGAAAGAACAGGAGTATAGGAATGAACAACCCTCATCATTGTTGTAAATCCAGCGGCTGGGGAAACAAATAAACATTATGTGACAGGAATACTCTAATGAAAAAATCTGATCAGACAATCTTCATACCGATGCCAAAATCCTAGACAAAAAAATAGAGAAGTATAACAAAGTTATTCAGATGATAATGCTCTAACGAAAACATATTAAGCTAAATGTCAGCATGCCTAAGATTCTCATATTTTTCCTTTTCTTTTACATTAATTACTTCTACCCAGAGGTATTAAATTACGAGGAGAGAGCTTATATTCGTTTAACTTCGTGTGAATAAGAGATAGTATGTGTTTTTCATGTCCAAAATTAAAATTGAAGGCAAAATTGAAGATAGAAAAGCAAAACAGAAAAAGGAAGTAGAAGAAGTATAGGAGATAACCATTCATGTTGTACAGGAAGTGACCGGAAATTGGAGATCAGAAACAGGGAAACAAAGGGACGAATAACTTTCACGACAAAAATAAATGATGCACATCAGTCTAAAAGATTTTAAAATTTTTTTATGAAAAAGCAAAAGAAGTTTTAAAAATAAATAACAATATTTATTTGGAGAATCACTTACCTTGATCATACCACCAATGATCTTGCATACAATAGGAATTTGAGCAATTATTGGCCACTCTTCCAGTTTCATAATTTTGAAATGTGGTTTGAGCATTGAACAACAAACACAGTGCATACATGATGTTTGACATATTTCGATATGTGTTGATGTTATTTTACCCATGTTTTAACCGCTTCTTGATGTTATTTGATCTTTAAAATGCCCAACATGGTTTAATTATTGGTTTTATGACTAATTGAGTTGTGTGTGGTGAATTAGGGTGTTTGGAGTGCAAAAATATGAAGAAAAGGTGCTCTTGGTAGAGGAAGAGAGATTGGATGCGTCGCATCCAATCTAGAAAAAGATCAGATTTCGTGCACCCTTAGCAGTGAAGTCGGCCCATAGCATCCGCACCTGGGCAAAGTTGAGATGGAGGAACAAGGGGTGGATGCGTCGCATCCACCCTCGCATGTGAGGCTGAGAAATGGAGGACGAGGTGGATGCGTCGCATCCACCTTAGCATCAATCCCTGAAGCCGATTTGGACTAGGAATAGGAGAGCTTTGGCCCACGACTTTTGTACGCAATATATAAGCCAAAAACGCCTCCTTTAGGTCGGTTGACATATGGGAGAAGGGGAAAAAGCCACAACAAAGTTCTAAAACCACGGAATTCGTCTTGAGTTCCTATTCTCTCTTTCTTTTATTGATTCTTATGCACTCTTGTGAATTTTTGATGATTGCCTGAATATGAGTGGCTAAGAACCCTATTGTTCTAGGGTCATGGGTATACATGAATGTTGATGTTTGAAGTTTAATTTGACGAAGTTGATTTTATCATATTGGGTTGTTTATTTAATTCTGTTTTTAATTATTTTGCTGAGTAGCTAACAGTGAAATACTATCTACGAATCTAGAGTTGAACTCGAAAGTGGGAACTCTAGATTGCATATAGAATTAAATAGAGCAAGTTCTTAAACCCGGGCATCGGGGAAAGGATTCTCAATTAGGATAGACATATACCTAATTGCGTTGCTCGGTTGCAATACAGGAATTGTAAATGCGTTCTTGTTAAGTTTAATTCTATAGACATATAGGTATTAAGTTAGCTTGAATAGGCGAGTAAGGACTCGACAGATTTTTATGAGTAATATCAACCCTGTGAACCAACAATCCAGATAAATCAATTAGTTATTTTAAGCTAAGAATGCAACATGATTGTTAAATAACCCGTGACCCTGGAATATTATCTCCCATTGATTGTTATTTAAAACTATTTAAGTGTTGTGTTGATTTCTGGTATTCCATTACTTGATAGTCTTTAGGTAGTAAATTAGACAATTATCTATTTTATAAGAAATCGCTTGAATCGATAAGCTAGTTGAGTTTGAATTAGTCAAAAGTTAATCATAAGTCCTCGTGGGAATGATAATCTATTCACCACTCTATTACTTGACGACCACGTATACTTGCGTGAGTGTGTTTGGTCCCAACAGGTTTTTGGCGCCGCTGCCGGGGACCTAGAAATTAGCTACTTGACTGAGTTAATTGTCACCAAAATCCTGACAAAGAAAGAAAAACGATCGTTAAGTTGAGATCAGATAATCATACAAAATAGCACTTACATTATGCCGATGCTTTTAAATGTTAAATTATGGAATACAAACTTTCTGTCTTGTATGCCTTTGAACTGCCAGTAGAAATATCAAAGGTCAAGAGATAACATTTGCATTTCTCCATAACCACCACATCCTTCCTCAACTCACTGTAAAAAGAGAAACAACAAAAATAACATGAATTTCCGTTGAGGTAAAACTTCAAGCAATACTTAGACAAAAAATAAAATTGTCAAGTAAGATTGACTCATATTTCAAATGACTATGCACATCTGGCTGACATATATGTGCATGATATAACGTAATGTTTATATCTTCAGTGCAAACCCTTGAATATTTGAAACAAAAACTGATGTTTTAACTATTGTGCTATACTGATAAAATCTTAGTATTTGCTATCAAATGCAGTCGCATCAACTTAAAATCAATTTGATAGAACATGTGCTTAGATAACGGGGATCAGACATTGGAAATCTTATCCAATTTCTTTAAATCTCAAGTTTGATGTAACTCTTTTCAAGGTTTGGCTACCTTACTGAGAAAGTGAGGTTGCCTTTATCTGGACCTTTTATCTTCTGCTTCTTTGCAGTACATCCAGGGAAAGGATATCGCAGGCAAGTTAACTGAAAAAATAGATTATGTTAATAAGAGGACAGAACTTCAGTCAGCATATACCTGATGAGGTGACCGTCAATCAATTTAAATGCTGGGGATATTATTTTAGACAATCTGACTTCCCTGATCATCCTTTCAACTACATTGCCAATGGCTGATAAATTGCATTAGTGTTAACTATCAAAAAGCAGAGTTAACAAGCAATTTGAAAATCATGATATATTTTTACTTTTCTTTTGGATCAGTGAAAATCAATAGATCTATTACTACTTAAAAGAACAAGATTATTTGCAAAATCTCTTCAAGCAGTTTTTCTACAGGGATAAGCCAAAAATATACCTACTGAAAATCTTGCACAATATCTCCTGAGAATGCCAGCACGACACCCCTTTCACCAACTGAGCTACGAGCTGTAATAGATTTTTCAAGCAAGATACACTCATATTTCAAAAGACTATGCACATCCGGCTGACATAATCTATGTATGTTAAAATTACATTTTGCTATGAATTTCTTAGATAAAATTATTAATTCCAGCCTATACTACGTCTTTTCTTTTCTTACAATGAATAAAATTTCTGTAGATGACATACCTTTTTTTGTCATCTTTCATCCTGATATGAAGATGCATTACTCTAAACCATATCCTCCTTGCTCAACTCACTGAAAAAGGAAAAGAACAAGAATACATGAACTGCTATAGAGATGAAAGTTCAAGCAATACATGAACTGAAGAGTGAGATATTTTTTCAGAAGAATACATGAATTGCAATTATATATGCTAACTACTTTCTAGAGCAAATTATTAATTCTATTTACAATAAGTTTTTGTCATAATGTAAAAATATTTCTGTAGTTGCAACATATTAGTAGCTCTTTTGACAGCTAACCTTAAATTTCATCTCGAGCAAAGATGCTTCCTCGACTTCACAGTGCAAATAGACGCTACACACTACTCATATAACGAATAAAAGGAATTAACACGCAAGGAAAGGTAAGTAGTAAAAACTTGAAAAACAACTACAGAAGGAGAGACAGAGAAATTAGCATCACATGAATGCTGAAAAGGGACATATGCTTTTGCTATCAGTCAGGCAAAATTACTCTTACATTAATGAAAAACATAATCTAGATGAGACAATATCTGAAGCCGTATTGCTGTCAAATCCTGACAATGCAAGTTTAATTATTTCCTAAAACTTTCGGATGGTTGTCCCTGATTACACACACACACACACACATTGAAATATAATTTCTATATGGAGCTTTAGCATAGAGCTCTGTGTTTAATGAAGAGCAAAGCATAATTCATGTCCCAGGAAGCAAATTGAACATCAATAATAGTGGAGAGCTACATAGTAGTGTAATATGGCCAAATTTTCATGACATTTGCCATGACATAATATCCATTATAATAAATTTGTGGTTCATGACATTTGCCATGACATAATATCCATTATAACAAATTTGTGGATCATGACATTTGCCATGACATAATATCCATTATTAGGCCAAGGATTTCTTGCTATAAATAGAGGAGTTTCTCCTCACTTAAAAACACACCAATTCAAGAGCTTTTCACTCTTGTCTTTCTTTCTCCTCCTTTATTTTATTATAGAATATTTTGTAAGAGAGTGAGTGTTGGAAAACACTTGTGTGAACCCTTTCTTTGGAGTGACCTTGTGGGGTTATTCTCTTGGGGTATTTGGGATTAATTAGAGTATTTACTCTAATTTTGTACTCTCTTTTGTACTCTTATTGGTATAGTGAAATTAGTCATCTCCGCTTGTGGACGTAGGTCACCTTGACCGAACCACGTTAAATTTATGTCTTCTTTATATTCTTTAATTGTCGTTATTATCAACTTCCATTGTCTTTGTTATTTTCATTATACCGTTGTTTGGCTAAATTTCGCACTACCCGGGTTCCCGATCCTAACAAATTGGTATCAGAGCCACATCTAACCGGGTTAGTTTAAATAGCCAAAATGACTCTAACAAAGTCTTATGTTGAGAAATTTGACCGAAGTGCAAACTTCGGAATGTGGCCATTAAAGATGAAAGCTATCCTAATTTAGGATGGCTTAGATTTGACACTGTAAGGAAAGGAGAAGATGCCGGATAAAATGACGGACGAGGAGTTTGCCGTCATAGAGAAAAAGGCAAAAGCAGGTATTATTTTAAATCTTTCAAATGAGGTTTTGTGTAAAGTTGCAGCAGAAAGCTCAGCCGAAGGCATATGGGAAAAGCTTAAAACCCTATATATGAAAAGAACAGTAGAAAACAGGCTTTACCTAAAGCAAAAACTCTACACTTTTCGTATGGCTGAAGGTACCTCTATACTTACTCATCTTGATACTTTTGATTCTCTTCTTATGGATTTAAGTAACATAGATGCTGAAATCAAAGAT